GTAATGGGAGAGAGAATGAGAGGGGGATTGGCCGTCTCCCACGGTCCCTCTCTCTCATTATTGTCGACCACATTTAATACACTACTAAAGATACGCAGTCCATTCTCTGTGCCCAGATCCTCATACGAGCAACAGCGCTCTGACACCGAACGCTGATTGGTAAAAAACGGACGATAGGAGTAAATTTTACCCCCACAACCGACTTTTCATCAATCTGCGTTCGGTGTCAAAGCGCTATTGCCTGTATGAGGATCCGGGTTATGTCTTTGGTGGAATCAAATCACCACTTTACGCATGCGTACAACGTAATAGCGAACGTCACAAATCACGTGACTATTCTCGAATCACGGCACTTGTATTTTAGAGTCTTTATTTGAATAGGAAAAAGAAAGAATATACACACGAGTGAGTTTACGGAAAGCGATAAAGATTTTTTTAAAATATTTATGATGAGACATCTCAGCAATTTCACACAAATAATTATACGAAAATATATCTATATATCATACGCAAAAAATGATGCGAATAAAAAACAGATTAATATAGCGTTTTCGGCCCGGCCAGGTTGCACCAACTTGGATTAGATTAATGGCTCTTTATCATGCTCTTTTATTAGTAGAGCGGGTGACGTCAACCCGGAAAGATTAATCCAACCAAGGTTGGTGCAAACCCGATCGGACCGAAAATGCTATAATAAGTTAAGTTTTAAAAAATAGAACCTTTATTTTATATAATAATACTTGTAATTGTCCTTCCGATCAGAATAGGGTGCAGATATAATAATAATAATAATAATAATAAGATTTCATCAATTGAATAAAAGAATGAAATAATTCGTTGAATTACATATATATGTTAATTTATTACTGTACATACATATAAGTAAATCACCGCAAATATTAATTAAATTTGTAATAAACTGAAATTCAGTAATACGAATAGTTTTTACATAAATTCTTACATTAGATATATAAAAATATTAATCAGTTTTTAAAATTTCTTTTTAGAGAAGACCCAATATTGAGCTTCGGGGATTCGAATTGTCAGGATCTTATCAGATTCTGATAGAAAGTACTCTTATCAAATAGCAGATTTATTAAAAATAATTTTTTTACGGCGCAAACCAGAATTTTGCAGGATAGTCGGTGTGTTTAAGTAATCATCAACGGAAATGTATTTCGGTCCACCGAAAGTGTCCAATAAGGCGATTGTCGATATGTCCAATTCGGCGAGAAAGAATTTGTGATCTGCGCAAACAAATGGTGCAACATAAGTGTATTTTTATAAATGTAGATCAATTTTA